CAGGGGTCACCTGCGAGAGTGCTGAGTTCACACAGGGATCCGACAAGGGGATGGGACAGAGGCCCAGGACACAAGCAGCTCAGAAAGGAGCTAGAGGCAGCACTTCCAGTCATTCAGGGAGCGGTGACACTGCAGCGAGGAGAGTCCTTGGGGCTTGCTGGGGAGACCGAGGTAGTGGAGGCGGCCCCAATGCAGTGCAGTGGCCACAGAGAGGGTGCAGGAGAAGACGGTGCTGCAGAGAGGAGCCTGCAAGGGCACCTCAAGGTTGGCATGGTGGGGGTATCCCCCATCCTCAAGGTGGGCGGGGGGGCATCCTCTGTCCTTAACGTGGGCAGGGAGGGAGCATCTTCCTGGTCGCCTGTCTTCATGGTCACTATTTTATCTATCACAGCTCATGTCTGAGGACACCAGCTGTGGCCAGGCCCCCGCAAGGGCTGTGCCGGCATCACCCCTCCTCTCCCATGGGGGGGTCCCTACTTTACAGATGAAGAGACTGAGCCCAGAGACATGGAGCTGTGCCAAGGACTCAAGCAGAAGGCACTCAGAGGGGCAGGGTAGCAGACCAACACCTCTCCACTGACTGGTGTGGAATGCCCTATCCCTGGACAGTTGGAGAAACTGAGTCTTGGAGAGATCCCATGCATGGCAGAGTGATGGCAGACTTGAGGAAAGGACAGGTGGCACTTCTCAGGGCCTACCCTGGAGGCTCAGGGCTCAAGGCACATGCAGACTGAGCACCCTCCTGAGAGGCTGAGTGTCCCTGGTGATGTGGCTGGACCACAGCACACAACAGCAGCAGCACCACCAGGACAATACCATGCACACGGGACAGCAGCCATCAGGCAGAGCCAGGCGGGCTGGGCTCCACTCTAAGGGGCTCTAGCTGGAGTCTGGGCAAGTCACTCCTTGCAACCTTGGCTGGTGTGCCTCCATGCCCTCCCCAGGGCCTGATGACACCCTCTGAACTCCCCCAGCCTGGAAGCCGAGTGTCCCCCTTCCTGGGGCTCCCAGCATCCTCCTGTGACAATGTGCCAATGGGGACAGCCTGGGGTGTGGGATGTCAGGTGTCCCAAGGACGGGTCCAGCACCAGAGCTCTCAGTCACCTCTCTGAGCAGCCTAGGACGTACTGGGGACACTTGGTGTCTCACCCAACCCTGCAGGGCACAATGGCTAAGGCCTGCCTCAGGGACGAGGAAAGAAGCTCAGGAAGAAAGTGACTTTGTGTTAGCCACAGAGCTGCCACTCAGAGCCACCCTAACAGCTATGTAGCTTCCTTGTGCACCTTTTCATCAGGTGGAGATACCCTGTCAAGTTCCTGTCTGGGAATCCTGGGGCTCCTGTACCAAATCAGTGTCAGTCAGGTACACCTGGGGTCCATGAGAGGTTAGCACAGGAAGGACCCCCACCCATCCCCACTGCCACAGGCTTTCTATAAAGAAAGGGAGAAGCGTGAGGTCTGGCTGCAGACACAACTTGCTCTGGGAACCCCAGCCACCCCAGTCTGCATCCGGTCCCGCTGGGAACCCCACCCCTACCCCTAGGCCAGGGCAGCAGGGGCAGGAGAGGTGGGGCAGGCTTGGGGCTCCAGAGGGCTCCAGCACAGGCCACTGCTTGGGGCTTCTCTGGAGGCAGAGGGCCCCCTCTTGTCACCGCCTCAGTGTAGAAGTTCATGATGGGAAAACCAGTCAGGGTGTCACAGACAGGCTCCAGTCACAACACAGACTCATTTCAGATCTGAGGATACACACTGGCAGAAGGTGCTAGGACCGTGTATATGTGCCCGATGGAGAACACGTCCATCAACAATGACTGTGAGGGTCTGACTCACAGAATTTACACAGCACATTCAGCACGCACACATGTGCACACATGCACACACATATACCCACATTCACACGCACACTGCTGTGGACTGGATGCTTGTGTCTCCCCAGAATTCATATGCTGAAATCCTCACCCCAAAGTGATGGCATTAGGAGGTGGATCCTTTGGGGGGTGATTAGGTCATGAGGACTCTAAATAAGTGCCCTTATAAAAGAAGCTCTAGAGAGATCCCTCACCCCTTCCACCATGTGAGAACACAGAGAAGGCACCATCTATAAACCAGGAAGTGGGCCCTCAACAGACAAAGAACACCCTGGCACCCTGATCTTGGAATCATCAGCCTTTAGAACTGA